GGCTACACAAGTAACCATCAATACATAGCTTGTGGCTGGCCTAACCTGTGGTCTATGTCAGGTTTCAAGGGCAGAACGTGGGAGACAAAGCAAGGGTCTCCTCTCAAGTCTAGAGGCTCATGTATTAAAGGAAAGAGTGAGCAAGTCTGAAACAAGTAGAGAGTTAGAGAGAGTTGGAAGTAAAGTAGCTGGGAACTAGTGAGTCAAGAAGAGGAGAGAATTCTCAAGTGTATCAAGGTGTTGAGCAAGGGTGAGAGAGAAACAGATTGTGAGGGTAGTGTTCTAAGGGGGTTTCCATTTGTAAACCAAAGTTGTAACCTATCTTCACTAGTGAAATTTCTCAAGGGGATCACCAAAGAGGATGTAGGCAAATTGCTGAACCTCTATAAACACTTGTGTCTTTTGTGCTTGATTATTTTCTGAGTGTGTGTGTAAGATTCATCCATCATTGAGTCTTGTCCAAAGTCCATCAACAACAAGGTCTAAATGGGAGTGAGTTGGTTCTAATTCACAACAATGTCCTTCAACCTTCCAAGTTTGTAGATTTTGGTGATTTGATACCGTTAAAAAGTATGTCAGATCCAAACGTATTTCACTGTCAATTGATGATATGACAAATGAGAGCCTCAAATTTTATTTTTTTATTTTTATGTTATGGATTAGCAATTTGCACAATGTGGAAAGAAAAAAAATTAATTATTTTATTCTAATTTAAAAAATAAAAAAATTACATTAATTAATTCAAAACAAGTTAAAAATAAGAACCCCAAAAGCTTTTCCTCTATCCGCTGTCAAAAAAATGCAAAGAAACAAGCGTTACTGTCATATTGAAATGCATACCTTTGCCACTAGTGGTATGCCAGCACATTTTTCAGCAATCACTTTTCCAATGCTCTCCAGATCTGGAGATTTTTCAAATCATATCTAGGAAGTGTTTCTATGATTGATGCAACGTTGCCACTGCGGGTAGTGACAATTATGGTGCTTCCCTGAGCAGAATTGAGTTTCGACAAACAACTCATCAAGATGTTCCATTTTATATTATCTTCGTTCCAAACGTCATCGAGTATAAGAATATATCGCTTTCCTGTCAACTCTTCTTTGAGGTTTTTAAGCAATGCCTCCTGACTTTGAATTCCGGTCTTTCCTGAATTAAGTAGTTCTAAGACCCGGCTTAAAATCAAATTCACTTCAAAGGTGTTAGAGACACAAACCCATATTCTTTTGTCAAATGACTTGTCTATAGCATCGTCGTTGTACACCGACTTAGCCAAAGTTGTCTTTCCTAAGCCTGCCATTCCCACAATTGCCGCAACCGAAAGCTTTTGTTGATTGTTGGAGCTGATCAAGGTCTTTACTATATCTGACACAACCTCCTCCCTTCCAAAGATACTTTCATCGTCATCAAAGCTTGAGACGGTTTCCCTGCTCCCCATGCCTTGGGCAACCGGATCAATTTTCTTTGCAACCAATCCAATGAACGATGCCTCGCTCTTGAGCTCCGCCAGAGATGCATTGATTTTTTTAATTTTATGGGCCATTTTTTGGCGAAACAAAGTGGCATTTGAGGAAGAAAGGAAGTTGAGTACCTTTTTCTTCATATGGTTTTGCAGTTCCACTTGACTCCGGAGTATTTCATAGTTGATTTCATCCAAGACGTTATCAGCATCATGAGCTATGTCTTTAAGTTTCTCCACCCAATCTTCCACTGCCTTGCCCCGATCTCGTGCTTGCTCAGCCGCACCACCTAAGAAATCTTGAAGGACAGATAATGATTGACCAAGCTTTTTTAGCTCTCCTTTAAATCCCCAAGCCAGCATGAATTCTTGAGCGGCAAGCAAAGCTACCTTCTTCAGTATTCCCTCTGCAGCAAAAGTAAGTAGTGATTCTACTGC